GCAGGAGCGCAGGAGCGCAGGAGCGCAGGAGCGCAGGAGCGCAGGAGCGCAGGAGCGGAGGAGCGCAGGAGCGGAGCAGCGCAGGAGGAGGAGAGCAGGAGGAGGAGAGCAGGAGGAGGAGAGCAGGAGGAGGAGAGCAGGAGGAGAGCAGGGGAGCAGGAGAGCAGGGGAGCAGGAGAGCAGGGGAGCAGGAGAGCAGGGGAGCAGGAGCAGGGGAGCAGGAGGAGGAGAGCAGGAGGAGGAGAGCAGGAGGAGGAGAGCAGGAGGAGGAGAGCAGGAGGAGGAGAGCAGAGCAGGAGGAGGAGAGCAGGAGGAGAGCAGGAGGAGAGCAGGGGAGCAGGGGAGCAGGAGAGCAGGGGAGCAGGAGCAGGGGAGCAGGAGAGCAGGAGAGCAGGAGCAGGAGCAGGAGAGCAGGAGCAGGAGCAGGAGAGCAGGAGCAGGAGCATGAGAGCAGGAGCAGGAGCAGGAGAGCAGGAGCAGGAGCAGGAGAGCAGGAGCAGGAGCAGGAGAGCAGGAGCAGGAGCAGGAGAAGACAAAAGACAAAAGACAAAAGACAAAAGAAGACAAAAGACAAAAGACAGAAGACAGAAGACAGAAGACAGAAGACAAAAGACAAAAGACAAAAGACAAAAGACAAAAAAGACAAAGACAAAGACAAAGACAAAGACAAAGACAAAGACAAAGACAAAAAGACAAAGACAAAGACAAAGGGAAGGGAATAGAAGGAAAGCCAAGGCATGAACAGCCTGGGATGTTAAGAATGCTGTATGAGAAATAATTAGGGGAGACAAGGTGACAAATTCATTTCTTTCTGTCACCTTTTTCCTCTAGTGCTTGAATAAAGATGCAGAAGAGGTGCATATCTAAATGAAATGGTGTGGTTTGGGAGTCACTGGTGAAATTTGAGGGGGTCGAAGATGCAGTGATGCTCTTGTCTTGGTCTTTCCATGGTGAGCTTCCTGAAGCCCCAGTCCCTGGAGGCTCCCCACTCCCCAACTGCCTCAACATGCTTCATCTCATGGCAGCCCTTGTCTCTTCTTGAGCCCGAGCAGAGCATGAAGACAGTGTTGCCTGGGCTAGCCCATGTCCTTACTGCTCAGAAGTCTTGCCTCAGGCTGGTAGTCATAAATAACACTGTTTTTCATATGGGTGTTACCCTTTTCTGAAAAAAAATATTAACATTTATGGAAAGCTCAACAAAATCCAGGCTCCCCCCCTGAGCTCTCTGCCACCCCGTGCTAGTTTTCTGTGCTAGTTTTCTCTTTCTGTATTTCTCTGTTGTTTCTCCTCTCCTCCTTCTACCATTGTTTAAATTAGTTAATTTTCCAAACTCCTTGGAAAATAGAGGAAAATTGCTGATTAATATTATTTAAATATTTAAAGTATTCCCCTTAAAGAAAAATATTTTTATAAAAATAGATGACTGCTTCATTTTACCTCTATCCAAACTAATGGTTCCACTTCCTCTATATAACCCTTCCTATAATTTCGTACTAATAATTTACTAATGCTTGTTTATACCCATTGTCTCTGTTAGATGGATTAATTTATTTTGTACTTACACTATCCTCAAGAGATTTTCCCCTTTATTTACTGAATTATATTTTAAAAACTAGGAACACAACTTAGCACGTTGATTCTGGATTCATCTAGATTATTCTTATTTGATTGAATTTATAAAATTAGTCATCTGGCTCCAGCTAGTTTTCCAGGTGTTTTGAGGACCCAAATCTTTCATATCTATTTGGCATATCCTTCTAAGTTGCTGCTTTGTTTGGTCTCCGACCTTAGCCAAGCCTTTTCTTAACCACTGGGAAGATGGGACTCTTGTTGAGGCCCCTATACTCAGATTTTATTACTGGAAGCAAGGGTAACAGCTGCTCCTGGCAGAGGTCTCCTGCGGATGCCACTGCCTTCTCCCAGGGGTGCCTATACTCCCACATGCCTCGTTTTGACTTGAACTAATTTCCCCAGCAAACTGGCTCAGAGCTTCTGCTAACCCAGCTGGATCTCCAAAGGCACATGCACAATTGTCGTTTTCTTTTTCCAGATTCCCAGTAATTAGATTTAGAAATGTGCATAGGCCATTAAAATTAAACACACTCTGAAGGAAAATCCTGAAATCCTTTAGGTGTTTGAAATGGCTGCAGACTAACACTTACGAGTAGTTAAGTATTTGCTAGGCATTAAATACGCTAGCGTTTTTCCAGTTGTGTGTGCTTTCATAGTCTGGGCTCCTGGAAGCTCAGAGGTCACACTTAGTTCAGAGGGCTGTTTAGCAAGGCATGATGAAAGAGAAAGATGCAAGATGCTGGGAGAAATGTGTACAGTACTACACACAGGTCAGTGGCAATAACACACATCAAGAAACAGAGATCCATGAGGAAAGTGGGCCCTGAGGTAAGAATAGGCTAGTTGGCTTGGGGTCAGTTTACAAAAGGGAGAATTAACTGGGAGCATTTGTTTTGGGAGTGTCCAAATGCTCTGGGTTGGGATGTACTGGCTGATGGCTGCACTGTGGTGAACTGGACACCCGTTTCATTGTTTGCAAGACCAGCTTTGCCTGTGATCACACACTTGCAAAGCACTGACCTGTTGCTGTCTTGTTTGGGTTTTGGTTCAAGGCAATAATCATGACTTTTCATCATGTACATGGCCCTGGCACAAGGCTCTTTAGGAGGAAACCTGGAGCTGACGAACAGCAGCAGCAACTGAACACTCACAGATACAAGACACGGGGTACTTACTTTACGGTTCATAGTCTTC